CCGGCACGGCGGTCATCGTCCTGCGGGCCCAGGACCCCGACGAGGGGGAGGCCGGCCGGTTGGCATACTCCATGGAGGCGCTCTTCGATGAGCGCTCCAACGACTACTTCTCCATCGATGCCGAGACGGGCAGCGTTGTCACTGCGCGCAGCCTCGACCGGGAGACGAAGGACACCCATGTGCTGAAGGTGACCGCCTCTGACCATGGCTCCCCGCGCCGCCGCTCGGCCACCACCTATCTGACGGTGACGGTGAGCGACACTAACGACCACGAGCCAGTGTTTGAGCAGCCCGAGTACCGGGAGAGCATCCGGGAGAACCTGGAGGTGGGTTATGAGGTGCTGACCATCCGCGCCACCGATGGTGATGCCCCAGCCAATGCCAACATGCTTTATCGCCTGCTGGAGCCGGGAGCTGGCGATGGGGTCTTTGAGATCGACCCGCGCTCTGGAGTTGTGAGGACCCGAGCCCCGGTTGACCGTGAGGAGGTCTCCGAGTACCACCTGGTGGTGGAAGCCAATGACCAGGGCAAGGATCCAGGACCACGGAGCGCCACAGCTATGGTGCACATCACTGTAGAGGATGAGAATGACAACTACCCTCAGTTCAGCGAGAAACGCTACCTGGTCCAGGTGCCAGAGGATGCCCCGGTGAACAGCCAGATTCTGCAGGTGCAGGCCACAGATCGGGACCGGGGCAGCAATGCTCAGGTGCACTACAGCATTGTGAGCGGCAACCTGAAAGGCCAGTTCTACATCCACTCTTTCTCCGGTGCCATTGACCTGATCAACCCTCTGGATTATGAGACTATTCGGGAGTACACACTCCGGATCAAAGCCCAGGATGGGGGCAGGCCTCCCTTGATCAACTCTAGTGGCATGGTGTCGGTGCAGGTCGTGGACGTGAATGACAATGCCCCCATCTTTGTGAGCACTCCCTTCCAGGCCACGGTGCTGGAGAATGTTCCTCTGGGCTACTCAGTGCTGCACATCCAGGCTGTGGACGCTGACTCTGGGGAGAACGCCCGCCTGGAGTACAAACTCATAGAGATGGCACCCTCTGCCGGAGGTGCCCCTGTAGCAGGTGACTCTGGGTTCCCTTTTCAGATCAACAACAGCACGGGGTGGATCACGGTGGCTGCAGAGCTGGACCGAGAGACTGTGGAGAACTATCACTTTGGGGTGGAAGCCAGGGACCATGGTGTGCCAGTCATGACCTCCTCAGCCAGTGTGTCCATCACTGTCCTGGATGTGAACGACAACAACCCCACCTTCACGGAGAAGGTCTATCACCTCAGACTGAACGAGGACGCAGCTGTGGGCAGCAGTGTCCTGACCCTAACAGCAGTGGACAGGGACGTTAACAGCGTTGTGACTTACCAGATCACCAGTGGCAACACCAGGAACCGTTTTGCCATCACCAGTCAGAGTGGAGGGGGGCTGATCACGCTGGCCTTGCCCCTGGATTACAAGCAGGAAAGGCAGTATGTGCTGACAGTCACTGCCTCTGATGGCACTCGCTTTGACACCGTCCAGGTCTTCATCAATGTCACAGATGCCAACACACACCGCCCAGTCTTCCAGAGCTCCCACTACACAGTGAGTGTCAGTGAGGACAAGCCCATCGGCACGTCTATTGTCACCATCAGTGCCACTGATGAAGACACGGGAGAGAATGCGAGAATCACTTACATTTTGGATGATAACATCCCCCAGTTCCGCATTGACCCTGACACAGGCACCATCACCACCCTGATGGAACTGGACTACGAGGACCAGGCTTCCTACACATTGGCCATTACGGCCCATGACAATGGCATCCCTCAGAAATCAGACACCACATATGTTGAGATCCTCATCCTGGATGCCAATGACAATGCGCCCCGCTTCCTGCGTGACCGCTACCAGGGCTCGGTTTTCGAGGATGTGCCGCTCTCCACTAGCGTCCTGCAGCTATCTGCCACTGACCGCGACTCAGGCCTCAATGGCCGTCTCCTCTACACGTTCCAAGGCGGTGACGATGGAGATGGAGACTTCTACATCGAACCCACTTCTGGAGTGATACGCACACTGCGCAAGCTGGACCGCGAGAACGTTGCTGTCTACAGCCTGCGGGCCTTTGCAGTGGACAGGGGCAGCCCACCGCTGAAAGCCTCTGTGGATATCCAAGTGACTGTGCTGGACATCAATGACAACCCCCCAGTCTTTGAGAAGGATGAATTTGACATCTTTGTGGAGGAGAACAGCCCTGTGGGCTCTATTGTGGCACGGATCAGTGCAGCTGACCCTGACGAGGGGACCAACGCACAGATCATGTACCAGATTGTAGAGGGGAACATCCCCGAGGTCTTCCAACTAGACTTGCTCAACGGAGACCTCACTGCCCTCATGGACCTGGATTACGAGAGCCGGACAGAGTATGTGATCGTGGTGCAGGCCACTTCGGCCCCTCTTGTGAGTCGGGCAACAGTGCACATCCGCCTCCTGGACCAGAACGATAACCCACCTGTGCTGCAGGACTTCCAGATCCTCTTCAATAACTATGTGACCAACAAGTCTAACAGCTTCCCCTCCGGCGTGATAGGCAAGATCCCGGCTCATGACCCCGATGTGTCGGACAGCCTGGCCTACACCTTTGTGCAAGGCAATGAATTAAACTTGCTTCTTTTGGACTCTGCCACTGGGGAACTCAAACTGAGTCGCGATCTGGACAACAACAGACCCCTGGAAGCCCTCATGAAAGTGTCGGTCTCAGGTAAGCAAGCGTTCGAGGCTCATAAAGTGTCTAATTCAGCTTGTCAGACCAGTACGTGGGCACGGGCAGAAATAACCCGCTTGCAGTGTAGTGCGCAGCTTTCGGTTTCCTGAGGCAGCAATTTATATGTGAAATTTTTGGAGAGGAACCACAAAAATGTATCAAGCTGGTGTGCTGTGGATTGAAGTGGTGCACTGAAGTTGTTTAGTAAACGCGGATCACAAGGGTAAATAAATACAAGTGTGTGTGGAAGGGTATATACTCCCTCAGTTTAGGTGGTAACTTGGCTGAAGCTCTTCTGATGTGGTTGCAAAAGGTAATAAGTGATGTAACTTGCAAAGATGTAGGGAATGCGCATGTAGCTCTAACGCCATCTTCCCTCCCTCTTTTTTTTTCCCCTCTGTTAAAAAAAAAAAAAAAAAAAAAAAGAGGACTTGAGATTTGGTATCTTGGCATTTTTAGGTACAGAACATGTTTATTCCCTTCTGCATACCGGGAGTTTTGGCTGGTAGATCCGTAGACCTGAGGCCAGTTCTCCACTGGTGTGGCCTGGGTGGATGTGCGGAGCTGCGCTGGTTTGCATTGCTGGCGTGTGTTCCTGTGGGAAATGGCAGCTCTGAAAGCAATGAGTAACGGCTGTGTAATAGCTGTGTAACGCAGCTAATTGCACCGAGCTTGCTCTAGGAGAGCTAGGGGCAGATATTGGCCAAACAGAGCCCCAAAATCAGCGCTGCCAGGGTGGCGGGGGGGAGGGGAAGAGGGAGGGGTACTGTACCATTAACTTGCTTCCTAATTTGTGTGCGTGTGTGTGAAGACTGTTCGATATTGTCCATTATATACTTTTATATGAGCACATATATGCTCTTGGGATATTATTCTTTTTCTTCTCAGTCGCTTGTTTATCATGGAATTACTTTTTATGCCTCTAATTGTGGCATCAATCATGCAATGAGTAATTTCCTCTGCAGGTGCCACTCTATAAAGTTTACTGTGGACCTGATCCCACACTTCTGTTGACTTTCAGAGGTTTAACCAGATACATTCCTCGCCGCCTCTCTCTGCAACCTAAAGCTAATATTTGTATTCTTTCTGAAAAAAAACAGCTGCAAGTACGTGGTCCATAAAATGACACTCTGGGAGATGCTTCTTTTCGGATGGTTGCATTAAAAAAAAAAATCAAATTGTGGCATAATCCTGGCAGTGCTTGTTTTACTATAAGTGGTCATGGTGTGCAGCGGGGCCTCGGGGGAGCGAGCCGCGCTCTCCCTTGTGCTTGCAGGCTTGAGGTCCTTTTTGCTTCAGGAAAATGAGAGTGATATTAGTTGAACTGATTGAATTTACTGCGCTGCGTCACCTGACAAGCCACTCCTGGTTCTTCCAAAATGCTGGGGGGCAGCTAATGTGGTAAGTTAGCTCATAAATGCCGTTTCCATGTCCTGTGAGGACTTGCAGAAAAAACAGACAGTTGGCTTGTGACCTTAAAGAAAAACATTTGGATTAAGGTGTAGGTGATTGCATGGTCATTGTCTGCCTGAGCCAGTAGTTCTTTATCTAGTAGCAGAAGATAAGAACTCAACTTGGAGCAAGGAGCTAGGAAAAGTCGTTTCATTAGACTAGATGAAGAGTGTGCTCAGACAGAAGAATAGATGACATGAACTGCTCCTTTCTCAATCTAATGATTTATGCAGTTTAAGTGGATGAAATCTCAGGTAGGAGTGAAGACCTCTATTTTCTTAAGTAATAGGTCCTTGATCATTCCTGCATCGTTTTCATGTTTGGTGAAGGTGTGAACTTTGAAACTCTGCTGTGATGTTGATCAAAACTGGCTCTCCTCTGCATGTATTGAGATTTTTTTAAGATTAAAGCTTTTTATGGGTTGGATTTTTAAATAATTTTGACAAGCGCTGAACTCCATTTGATATTAATTCGGAGAAGTTTGCTGTTTGGAAATGGAAAGGACAGAGTTTGGCAGTGTGTGATTGTGTCCAGGAAACTCTCACCTGCCTGCTTTCTCTGCTTTATCTGATGCAGTCTTAAAAAAAAAAAAAGACAGAGAAGAGGCTCAGACAGAAGTACTCCACAGGGTTATCTCTAAGTGTTGCAAAATACCTGCAAATCATCTGCTAAAATGACCTGCCAGTTAACTGAAAAACTTGTCTATGGAGTAGCCATTAACCTCTCAACCCAGACAAACACAAAGTCCTGCCCTGCTCACAGCTGCTGGTCAGGTCAGGGAAGGATTGGAGCTCTTTATGAACTGGGGGAATTTGATCTATATATGCGTCGGAAGTAACACTGCTGCTATAAAAATCTTATTTCCACCGAGTGCTGTGTTGTGCCGTGGAGGCATGTGAGTGTGTGTGAGGAGCTGCGCTGCTCAATTAAATTACTTTGGGACTTTGATACTTGGCTAAAACCAGCGTTCTTTCATTTGACTTGGGGATTATTCTAGTAAGCATGGTAATTTTGGCCTTCTGCATATAAACAAAACGGAGCTAATCGGTTTTGTGAAACCTGGAAACGGCGCAGTCGGCATTTAGAACTTTATGCTAACGTTGTAAAGGTCGTCAGAAGCCAGGTGGGCCAGTGGGCAACCCTGGGCAGGCTCTGCCTTGGTCCTGGTGCCGCGGTACCCGCTGGGCTGTGCCCCCGCAGCCGCTCAGGGACCGACCCGAGCAAGAGGAATGAGGAGTGTGGGTGGTGCGGGTGTTAGCGTTTTGCTTTGGATAGCAAGGGAGCTTTTTGAAGTCAGTCTCTTTTGAAGTGAATCTTTCTGGGTGCCCCTCGTCCTGTGCCGGTTGTGCAGAGCTGTCTGAGTGAGCAAACCGGATCCCTTTTGGATGAAACTAATCCAGATGTGCTCCAGCGGTCCCTTAAAAAGACACACTCTCCTTTTCCCATTGTACCTTCAAGGCTTTACTACAGAAAAGCAGAGCTCGGCCTTATATTCCCATGCCTGCGCGTTGTGTCCTTAGGTTTACGTTGTTTTAACAACTGGGGTGAGATCTGGACGCTGCTGAAATCCTGCTCTTGCTTTCCCAGGGTCCAGGATCTTACTCTGGGCTTCTGAAACAGGTGGTCAAGAGTCGACCGGTCTGTGATTTCTTAGTGTTACTGGTAAATATACGGCTTACATTGACAGGATCGTTTAACAATTGTTTTTTGTCCACAGTGATGTTCACAATAACGTTAAATTGGGACTTACTTGGTCAAAAAATGGGTTAAACATTGCTCAAGTCACACGGCATTCGCCCGTGTTAAACATTATACCATGGTCCCCGCCGGTGCTGGGGTAGTGGGGAAGGCTGGTGCTGGCCTCAACTTTGCACAGACATGCACAAGTTTGCCTGGGTATTGCACTGCAAACGCTGCTGGCACCTGCTCGGCTGTGCTGCCACCAGTAGTCCCACTTATTATCAAGGACAGCTCGCTGGGATGCAGCAGGTGTGTGGGCAAACCCCTCTGGGAACCCAGCCTGATTCACCAGTGCAGGCAACACCCCACTGGACTGTACGCGGCAGCTTTTGAGTGGCCCAGATAAACGTAAAATATCATTATACAACATCCAATTTTGGGAAGGTAGTGCAGTGAGGGATAGACACCCAAGCGTTTTTGATGGCAGGAGAGCTCAAGTATCTCCTTTTGCATTTCTTTGGCTTTTAATCTCCAGTGGCATTTAGTGATGTTATTGACTATCTGGCAAATACAAATTAAGACAGAGCTCGTTTGTGCTCCAATAAACTTGGGATTTTTACTCAAGGCTTGTTAAAGGATCCTCCATTATCATTGTAATTTGAAAGTCATTACGCTAATGGTCCTGGATCTCCAGCTCTGTGCCTTCTCCATACAAATGTAACAGAAGACAGGATGCTTTGGTTTAGCCCTTCTGATAGAGGTGAGGACACGGCTGTGCCCGAGGTGCCCCTGGCTGGGGGGTTATTTGTGCGTGTGGAGAAGATTTGAGATTAAAGGGAAAAAAGGAACTTGTGGGAAAAGGCATCTCTGTAAGCGCAGGGGCGCCTCTGGGTGAGGAGGGCGAGCAAGGGTGACTGCTGGGGATGCCGTCCGGGCACCTTGGGGTGCACCCTGGCCTCTGCCCCTGCCTTTGGGGAGCGGGGTGGAAGGGGCTGATGGGGCCTTGTGAGTTTTATGGGGCAGATCTGCAGGGCAAGCGGTTCTTTTAGGTGTGATGCTTCTGGCTGCCTGAGAAGACCGGCTCTCAGGGTCAGCGAGGGGCAGTGAGCACCCAAACTTCTCTCTGTGGGTCCCCCCTCCAGGGAAAAACATTCCTGCAGGCAGCCGTGGTGGGATCCACGTGGGTTATACAGTTAGGAGATGATGGAAAGGCACGGGTGGAGGCTCCTCTCCCTCCCTCCAGGTGGGAGCAGGGCTTTTGCACACTCGTGTTCCCGGGGCTTTGAATGCTTGCACTTCATGCGTGCGTCCTGCACGAAGAGGATAGAAAGCAGCAGCTGGAAGGCTGCAAAAACCGGGCAGGAAACGATGAGGGACCTCATTTAGAAAGATGGTGTGATACTGCAAGCTGTGAGATTGCAGCCTGCGTTGTTACTTTGTGTATTGAGTAATGGTTTGTAGTCGTGGTTTTGAACACTTAATGTTTATTTTCCGAAAATAGCAAAGCAAGAGTAGTGCCCATCATTTTAAAGTTAGGGCAGCTCCTGGATGTGCTGTGGCTACCTAAATCTTTTACTGCATCCGTATAGGTTGTACATTCTATTCTATTCTATTCTATTCTATTCTATTCTATTCTATTCTATTCTATTCTATTCTATTCGTGAGATGCATTTTAGATGTGCATCCCTCCAGCCTGCGGGAATTTGACTTTCCCTCTTCAGCTGATGATCTGGTTTAGCTGATAAAAAGCTGTGGCTGCCTTGTTGCTTTTGTATGTGCTTCCTTCCACTTCATCCCTGGGTTTCATAGGAGTGGTGTATTTTTGTTTCAAAAGACAGGAAAAGGTCTGTGGCTATGAGAGGAAA